CTTAAAATTACCCCCACACCTCTATTTGCAGGCAATTTCTTTACCAGATCGTCTTGTAACTGCTTAGCCTTTTCACAGATAATCGACGTCATAATACTATCTCCTGCTAATTGTTTCTCGTTTATCCACACCAATAATAACTTCTCAACCTCTTTGAGTACTGGTGATCTCATTTTTGTCAGCATATTTACCCCCTTTGCAACAACAGCGTCCTTGATTTCCTTTTTCTTGGCCACGATGGAACATATGGTTGTTTAGGGTTTGTTACACATCCTGGCCAGTTCGGCCGCACTTAAGCCACTTTCATATTGTTCAATGATGTTTTTCTTAAATTCAATTGTATTTCTCACCTTCTTTACCAAAGGCTTGGCACTAGGAGCTTTCTTTGGAGCCATGGTAGCTTATTTAGTACTTGCAAGCACTAAAATGAGTGGTATATTATGAAATATCTCTTAGGAGCACGTGAGGGGGGCCTTCGCTCACTGGTAAACAATGCCAGACTGGCTGGGTAGGGAGGCCGCCCTGGCTCACACCGTGCGTACGCGTCCCGGACGACCTACTATTCGCGAGTCAGCCTACGATTAGCGAGCCCATGTTTATATGAAAATATTGCTATGATTTCCGAAATCTACGACTCTCGAGCCCTTCGATTATCGAGGGACCACTGTATATCAATGACCTTGATGAAGGTATTACTAGTGATATGAGCAAATTCGCCGATGACACAAAGATAGGTAGGATAATTGATTCAAACGTAGATGTTAGGGAACTTCAGGAGGATTTAGACAAACTATTCTTGGTCAGAAAAGTGGCAGATGCAGTTCAATGTAGATAAATGCAAGGTTCTGAAGCTCGGGAGTGTCCATAACCCTAGCACTTTTAAGTTAAATAATGTAGGACTTAGCCATACAGATTGCAAAAAGGACTTGGGGGTTATGGTGAGCAGCAACGTTAAACCAAAACAGATCCGAGTGGGGATCTGTAACAAGTGGCGTTCCACAGGGATCAGTCTTGGGCCCGTTGTTGTTTATAATATATATCAATGATCTTGATGAGGGAATTACTAGTGATATGAGCAAATTCGCCGATGACACAAAGATAGGTAGGATAATTGATTCAAACGTAGATGTTATGGAACTAAAGGAGGATTTAAACAAACTCTATACTTGGTCAGAAAAGTGGCAGATGCAGTTCAATGTAGATAAATGCAAGGTTCTGAAGCTTGGGAGTGCCCATAACCCTAGTACTTATAAGTTAAATGATGTAGAACTTAACCATACAGATTGCGAAAAGGACTTGGGGGTTATGGTGAGCAGCAACCTTAAACCAAGACAGCAATGCCTAAGCGTACGTAATAAGGCAAATAGATTACTGGGATTTATATCAAGAAGTGTAAGCAACAGAAGTCCAGAGGTCATACTGCAGCTTTATACATCATTAGTAAGGCCTCACCTAGATTATGCAGCTCAGTTCTGGTCTCCGTATTACAAAATGGACATAAATTCGTTAGAAAACATTCAGCGTAGGATGACTAAATTAATACATAGCATTAGAAATCTTCCTTATGAAGAAAGATTGAAGACTCTTAAGTTACATTCACTTGTTAGACGAAGAATGAGGGGAGACCTGATCGAAGTGTATAAGTGGAAGATAGGTATTAATAAAGGGGATATTAATAAGGTCTTGAGGATGTCTCTCCAAGAGAGAACCCGCAGTAATGGATTTAAATTAGATAAGTTTAGATTTAGAAAGGACATAGGAAAGTATTGGTTTGGAAATAGGGTAGTTGATGAGTGGAACAGTCTACCTAGTTGGGTTATTGAGGCTGGGACTTTGGGTAGTTTTAAATCTAGGTTGGATAAGTACATGAGTGGGAGGGGTTGGATTTGAGTGGGACTTTCACATCAGAGCTTATTTCTTGGGTGGCATTGAAAATTGGGTTGGGCAAATGTTTTGTTAGTGGGATGAATTGTAAAGGACCTGCCTAGTATGGGCCAGCAGGCCTCCTGCAGTGTTCCTCCTTTCTTATGTTCTTATGTTTCTTATGTTCTAAGCGTACGTAATAAGGCAAATAGATTATTGGGATTTATATCAAGAAGTGTAAGCAACAGAAGTCCAGAGGTTATACTGCAGCTTTATACATCATTAATAAGGCCTCATCTAGATAGATTATGCAGCTCAGTTCTGGTCTCCATATTACAGAATGGACATAAATTCATTAGAAAACATTCAGCGTAGAATGACTAAATTAATACATAGCATTAGAAATCTTCCTTATGAAGAAAGATTGAAGATTCTTAAATTACATACACTTGTTAGACGAAGAATGGGGGAGACATGATTGAAGTGTATAATTGGAAGATGGGTATTAATAAAGGGGATATTATAATAAGGTCTTGAGGATATCTCTCCAAGAGAGAACCCACAGTAATGGATTTAAATTAGACAAGTTTAGATTTAAAAAGGACATAGGAAAGTATTGGTTCGGAAATAGGGTAGTTGATGAGTGGAACAGTCTACCTAGTTGGGTTATTGAGGCTAGGACTTTGGGTAGTTTCAAATTTAGGTTGGATAAAAACACGAGTGAGAGGGGTTGGATTTGAGTGGAACTTGCATGTGAGTGGATAGTTATCAGAGCTTATTTCTTGGGTAGCATTGAAAATTGGGTTGGGCAAATGTTTTTTTAGTTGGATGGATTGTCAAGGACCTGCCTAGTATGGGCCAACAGGCCTGCTGCAGTGTTCCTCCTTTCTTATGTTCTTATTAAACATGCTACATAACATTTTTTTTTTCAACAAACCGGCCGTATCCCACCAAGGCAGGGGTGGCCCAAAAAGAAAAACGAAAGTTTCTCTTTTTAAATTTAGGTATTTATATGGGAGAAGGGGTAACTAGCTCCTTGCTCCTGGCATTTCAGTTGCCTCTTACAACACGCATGGCTTACGGAGGAAGAATTCTGTTCCACTTCCCCAAATGAACATGATAAATACACCCCACAGTAGAATAAATTAGCATAAATATGAGATGTGGTAGCCAGGTGACTTGTAGGAGTGACGGCAAGAATACCATTTTCTCTAGCCCAACATCAGAGAAACTGTGTACACTATAACATTACTGGGGGTAACTAGAAAATTATTCCTTTCATATGCCTTCACTCAGAGCGTCATTTCATCTAAAAATAGTGTGACATGAGAATGGGTGTTTTTCTCTTTATTTATTCTACTGTATCAACATGGAGACAACTTGTACACAATGTGAAGTGTATTATGGTACACCAAAACCAGATGCGTCTGTTTACATACTCCGCGTCTGTCCTCTCTCATGTACTCATTTTGTCTCTCTTGTTTATTCATTTTATCTTGTTTACTCACCTCTCACTCTACATTAAGACTTCAAATATTTTAAGGTAATTAATAAATGTACTGTACTGTGGACCCTCAGTTAACGACATCATCGGATAACTTAAAAATCGAATAATGACATGTTTTTGCGTCAAAATATTGGCTCAGTAAACGACAAAGAACTCGTTAGTCATTCTTCCCGAACATGTCCACGTGGCCTGAGTGGCCCGGCCACTCCATGTACAGCCAGTGTGCCATTGTTTACAAGCCAGTGAGGACGATTCCACACGTACATGCAATACATTTAGTATTATTCCATTGTTTTTAGTGTTTGTAACTTCTAAATAAGCCAAGGAGTGCGCATCTCCAAGCTGGCCAGGTTGTATAACAAACTCCATACAACCATCGCTAATATCTTGGCCAACAAAATGGCTATCAAGGAAGCTGTTGTTGCGAAAGGTGCAAATGTGCTTACAAAACAGAGATTGCAAATACTCGAAGATGTGGAGAGACTGTTGTTGGTGTGGATCAACGAGAAACAATTATCAGGAGATAGTGTTTCACAGTCAATTTTACATATGACAAGGCAAGGCAGTTGCATGATGATCTCATTAAGAAAATGCCTGGAGCTAGTGCTCTGTACAGTGGTCAGAATTTAGCAATTTTGCCAATTTCACACAAATTTCAAAAGATGCCAATTTCCAAATAGGGTCCAGAATAAACAAGAAAGACATTCCTGGCACTAAAATAACATTTCCTCTGTTCATTAGTCATGTCCCCAGGCCCCTCTTACATTTTTTTTGCTTTCCACTTTGAATTTTTATTCTCACACACAAAAAAAAATAAGATTTACTGTTATGCAGACTACTGCATTAGTGTAGAAATGGTATAAATAATATCAGCGCACTTGTGAAAGAATATTAGACTCACCAGTTGACGTGTATTGGACGCTTAGCATGATTTGTTTACTTTTGAACTTCGGTAAAAATCGAACATTTCTGCTACTTTGAGCTCAATTTCAAGGTACTTTTCATTGTAAAACCAGTCAAAATCATCTCAATTTCTGTAATATGTCTTCCATTCTATAAATGAGACCAGGAAAACTAGAATAGAACAATAAATACCATACGAAAATATAGTGCAAAGTCTCTGTTTTAATCCAAAAACATGGTCAAAGTTTTTTTTCTCATTACGCACTGTGTGCTGCAGGATTTTTTTTATACTGCGCACACTGACCACATAGACCCATTCTTTCATATGTAGGCCTACCAGCTTTCTCTCACTAGATTTCAAGGCGCTAGAATTTATGCATACTAGTACGTCATGGACACTAGTGCGTAAGCCATACTAGTACGTCCGAAACCCTGAAAGGGTTAAGAATCGTAGTGGCATACACAGTGTGATAAGGCATGGTGAGGCTGCCAGTTCTGACAAAAAAAGCGGCTGAAAAATACATGCAGGACTTTAAGGGGTACATAGAGGGTGAACAATTAAAACCCCAACAAGTGTTCAATTGTGACGAAACAGGCCTGTTTTGAAAGAAAATGCCAAACAGATCCTACATTACTCAGGAGGAAAAGGCACTTCCAGGACACAAGCCTATGAAAGACAGACTAACTCTCATGTTTTCTAGTAATGCTAGTGAGGATTGGAAAGTGAAGCCTTTACTGATGTATCACTCTGAAACTCCCAGAGTGTTCAAGAAAAACAGTGTCATCAAGACTAAATTGTGTGTGATGTGGAGAGCAAACAGTAAGGCATGGGTCACTAGGAACATTTTCCTCTGTTGGTTCTATGATGTGTTTGGCCTCACTGTGAAACAATACCACCTGGAAAATATATTGCCACTCCAGTGCCTCCCGTTAACGGACAATGCTCCTGCTCATCCTCCAGACTTGGAAGAGCAAATTGTGGGGGAGTTTAGTTTCATCAAAGTGAAATTTTTGCCCCCCTAACACCACTCCTCTCCTCCAGCCCATGAACCAACAGGTCATTTCAAATTTCAAAAAACTGTACACCAAAGCAGTGTTTCAAAAGTGCATTGAAGTGACCTCAGACACTGAATTGACCCTAAGAGAGTTCTGGAAAGATCACTTCAGTATCCTCAGTTGCATGAACTTAATAGGTAAGGCTTGGGAGGGAGTGACTTGCAGGACTTTGAACTATGCTTGGAGAAAATTGTGGCCACAATATGTACAAAAGAGGGATTTTGAAGGGTTTGAGGATAACCCTGAGGAGCCTATGCCAGTTGTGGAATCTATTGTCGCATTGGGAAGTCCATGGGGTTGGAGGTTAGTGGCGAGGATGTGGAAGAGTTGATGGAGGACGACGATGAAGAGCTAACCACTACAGAGCTGCAAGAGCTTGAGGTGCAACAGCAACAGACCACAGCTCAGGAATTTCCTTCAGAGGAGGGGGAAGAGAGATGGAGGAAGTTGCTGCCTTCAAAGATTAAGGACATTCGTGCAAAGTTTACTGAAGTGCAAACCTTTATGGATGAACATCATCCTGACACAGCTGTTGCAGGCCGTGCTGGCAACATCTACAATGACAATATTGTGTCCCATTTTAGGGAAATATTAAAGACACTCCAGAAACAGAGCTCTCTGGACAGATTTTTGGTGCGACAGGGGTCCAGTGACTCTCGAGCTGGTCCTAGTGGCATTAAAAAACAAAGAAGGGAGGTAACCCCAGAAAAGGACTTGGTACCTAAAGTCCTTATGGAAGGGGATTCCCCTTCCAAACAATTGTAAACTCCTCCATCCTCTGTCCTCCTCCCATTTCATCACTCATCAGATACATCTTCAATAAAGGTAAGTGTCATTTTATTAATTATTAATATATTTATTCTGCATGTCTCATTGTTTTCTGTGTAGGGAAATGTATATTTCATGTAAAAAATGATTTTGTTTAATACTTTTGGGTGTCTGGAACAGATTAATTGGATTTCCATTATTTCTTATGGGGACAATTAATTCGGATAATGACAGAATCGGTTAAAGACAAGCTCTCTGGAACTGATTAATGTCGTTAACTGAGGGTCCACTGTATATGTATTTTATCACTCTGGGGTGCTTTAAATGTTGTAGTATATTATGTGTGGGTGGGGTGGGCTGACCTGGCTGGCTACCATACCTCCCACGCCTGACTTCCTACAAATAAATACGACTCGCCTCTCGCCCTACATTAAGACTACAAATATTTTAAGGTAAGTAATGGGTGTACTGGGTGTGTATTTTACTTTTTATTGTTTTTAATGCCTATTACTATTGCTAACTTAATATATGTTAGCATAAACTTGTTATCTGGCAATTATATGCAATTATAAGTGGAAAAAATGGCTTTCTGCTTTCTGGGGATGTCTTCTTTCTGGCAGTAGCCTGGAACCTAACCTGCCATATAAGTGGGGCCCTACTGTATTCTCATCACATTACAGCCTCTCCTCACTTAACATCGGAGCTCTGTTCCTAAGACTGCGTCGTTAAACGAATTCGTCCACTAAGTGGGGGAGCATACTAAATGGTAAGGAGCTTGTGTCACCCATCTTTGATATTGTATTTAATGTCACCTTTTAAACCATTTATAAACATTTCTGGTATATTTTTAAATGTTTATACAGTATTGTACTGTTATTGAAATAAACAGAATAGAGGAAATCAGCTCAAATACACATTTTTTAAAGGTATGAATACCAGTCAGAGAGCCTCTCGTAAGCCCGAGGCATCTGTAAAAAGTACGTATGTCATTAAGTGAGGCGAGGCTGCATTAAAATTATTATTTTATTATTATTCTTATTATTATTATTTTTTATTATTATTATTATAAATACATAGAGAAAGCTTTAAGTTTTTGGCATTATACTTTAAATCTAAGACTAAAAATTCTTTTTTCTTTAACACTTCTTTAGGTACTGATATCCCAAAAATTACCGAGGGGATGTGGACATGGGGGTCATTGAGAAGTTCATGCCTCTCGTTTTGGAGAGGGAGGATGATGGCAACATGGCACCAATCATACAGGTAAGATCTAATTATGTGATAGATTAAGGTTTTAAGTCTGAGTTTGTCTGTTGAGGATGGTAAAGAGGTGAGGTTCACAAACACAGTTTAAACCTAAAATATTCGTACGTCCCTATATTCTACAACTCGATATTTGCCCAACTTTTTCTTGACAAATTTGACTTGGTATTCAGACATTGCCCTGATGATCAACTTAAACAAAATTGTCCATCTGGGCAAAGTCTAACAAAAATAGAGCATCACATGCTCAGTCTTGTGTCAGCTTTTGTTCGTTAAGCATCGTTTGTACAAACTTTGTGAAACTTTTTGGTATTTCATTGTTATTCTTTGGTGTTTTTTTTTTAAATATTTTCATTGAAAATAAGTAATCATGGCCTCCCACAAAAAGACTAGTGATCCAAACAAGCCTAAAAGGAAATCAGTGAGAACATCAGCATTACCATGATGGTAACGCTGGTGAAGTAGTAAGGATGAATGGGAGGGTGTTGGCACCTGGGGAAGAAGTTGATATCCTTGGGGTGAAATTTGACTCCAAACTGACCATGAAGAACCATGTTGTAAATCTTTCAAACAAGGCAGCCAGGAAGCTTACAGCACTTCACCGTATCTCACATCTGCTTGACAGTATGGGGTTGCAAGATTCTATACGAGGCACAAGTACGCTCACACCTTAAGTATGCTCCACTTTCTTGGTTTGCCTGCCCCCTCTCTCATCTGCGACTGCTTGACAGAGTAGAGAACAGAGCAAGACGTCTCATCTCTCGCCTGGACCAATCCTGGATAGATCTGTCATTTCAGCAGAGTCTTCAACACGGGAGGGATGTGGGTGGCCTTACTGTTATGTACAAGGCCAATATTGTCAAAGTACCACACGTGGATCCACTTCGAGGACAGCGTGAAACAAGCTTTTATGCCACAAGACGGGCAGAAAGCAGCAACTTCACTCTGGCTGTACCCTTCTCCAGAACATCACTCCATCTGAGATCATATATACCCAAGATGACTCGAGTATGGAACACATTCGTACAGCATAATGTTGTCAACGAGATAAAGTCAGTTGATCACATGAAAATGCTGACCCACAGGTGGCTCCAACTTTATCCTGTTCCCTACTCGTATGTTTCATAACAATAAAAATGCTTTCAAATGTGCTGATGTAGGTAACAGCTCTTAGCTTGCCAATAAAGTTAGGAATCCTTAACCTGTAAATAGCTTGTCAATAAAGCTAGGGATCCTTAACCTTGTCAAACCCTGTGTAAAAAAAAAAAAGTGGAAAAAAGAAGTCATTGCAAAGTGGGAAAGTGGAATATGTGTGTTGGACCTGGCTACTCAATATGGCATGGTGAAATCGACCATATTGTCCATATTGAAAAATAAAGAAGCAATAAAAGGGGCTGATGTGGCGAGAGGCGTGAAAATTCTTGCTGTGAAAAGTTGCAGATAATTGAAGAAACAGAAAAACTTTTGCTAGTGTGGATTAATGAACAACATTTGGCCGGTGACAATGTTTTTGAAACAACAGTCTATGAAAAAGGAAAACAGTTATGTAGTGATCTTAGGTGAGACACCCTTGGGAAACAGTGCTGAAAGTGATGAATTTAAGGCAAGTTGGGGCTGGTTTGATAAGTTTAAAAAGAGACATGGGATTCATAGTGCATTAAGGCATGGGGAGGCTGCCAGTGCTAACAGAGATGGGGCTGAAAAGTTTAAGGAATTTTAACCCTTAACCCGTAAACAGTCCAAATGTACGTTCTTACCGCTAGTGCACCAAACATATACAGTGGACCCTCGGCTAACGATGGCATCACCTAACGTTAAATCCAGCTAACGATACATTTTAACACAAACATTTTGCCTCGGCTAACACTAAAAAACTCGCCTAACGATATTCGTTCTCAGGTACCAATTAATATCGTTAGGTGAGGGTCCACTGTATTTACGTTTTATTTTTCCTGCCTCCAAATTCGGCATGATTGGCCTGAGATGCCTGGTCAGCATAGAATGTGTCTTAATACTTGGTGTGCACTGTACTAAAAAATGTAGGACCACTTAATACCTTGTGGGAGCACTGGTTAAATTGAGTGCCAGCTAGAGAAAGCAGTGAGGCAAATGCCAAGGATTCACTGATGTCATGTCATATTAACACTCCCCTTTTAAGAGGAAAGTGATGTTGACCCCAAGTTTAGTGGCTTTGGTGGATGTAGCCACAAGTGGTCGAGAAAATGTCAAAAACCTCGAGAATAACCCATGTGCATCATTTGTGCAACACCCTTTTAGAATGTCTTATAACCTATGCCCTAAGTAAAGAGAAACAGTTCTGGAACATGTCTGTCTGTCTCTGTCTATCTCTTTCTTTCTCTATCTCTTAATATCTCTGTCTCACAGGTAAACATAAATACAATTGTACATAGTGTAAATTACCTAGGATAACCAAAAAAATCCAGACAAAGTGCTATACTGTGCTTGTAGATATAATGTGTACGAATACCTGTTAGTTCACAGTGACTCTCTCTGAGACAGAGAGAGAGAAGCAGACAGACAGATAAGCAGAGACAGAGATGTCAACCCTCATCAAATGTGACCAATTACACATATCTCTTCTTATCACTGGACCCTCGCTGGTGCTCATCAAAATATCACCCCTTATCTCATCTTATCGCTGGTGCTCATCAAAGTGTCACCCCTTATCTCATCACTGGACCGCTCATCAAATATCATGCACCCTCGCTGGCGGAGCTTGTCACTGACTTGTCTTACATCATGCTTTAACCCTTAAACTGTCCACACGTAGATATACGTTCCCCTGTGGGGGGCTCCGAACTTAGATCAACGTTTTATTTTTCATTCCTTCAAAATTGGTGCAATAGGCCTGAGTCACCTAGACATGAGAGAATGGGTGTATGCATTCAGTGTGCGCACTATGAAAAAAAAATTGGGGATGCTGGGGTTCCCCGTGGTAACATCAGTTAGTTTCAGCTCCATCTGGGTCAACATCATGGCAAACCCCCGTGATTCACTGATGCCTCATCATATTAACACTCTACTATTCTTGGAAAGTGATACAGAATGTGAATTTGGTGGTTTTGACTCCAATATAGCCACTAAAGATCGAGGAATTAGTGAAACTTTTGGTGATAACCCAGATGACCCTCTGGCCATGACCTCTGGGGTGGCCAGTGTGGATAGTGTGGCCATACCAGACCCTCAGCCCAGCACTTCTGAGGTGGCCAGTGTGGCCACAACAGACCCTCAGCCCAGCACTTCTGAAGTGGCTAGTGTGGCCACAACAGACCCTCAGCCCAGCACCCCTGAGGTTGCTAGTGTTACTTCCCAAAGGCAACTCCGCAAGAGGAAATCATCATTTTCCATGCGTTTTGGTGATGACGATAGTGAAAGTGATGTAAGTGACAATGCTGAAATCGATTTTATGCTGATAGACGATTCCTCGAGTGAAAGTGATTATCATTATTCCCCAGTGAAATGTACTTTTAGGTGCCATAACCTGCGTTCAGGCAGTGTGCCATATGCAGTCGGCGGCAAGGGTCGTATGAGGTCACGATCCGAAACCCCAGCCACTAATAGTGATAGTGATCATGAAGGTGAATATGCTGGTATGGAGGAAGAGGGGGGTTGGCATGGTGCCTGGACCTCGTGGCGCGGTGCATGGGCAGACAAAAGACTGTCCGGCACCCTCTCAAGCAATGTGCTGCCTCCAGCTCCCCCATGCCCCATGCCACAGGTCCACCCTACACCATCTAATCGCGAATGGAACTGGACAGAAAGTACACCATTTGTGCCACATCCTTTTAATTTTGATGCCAGTGGAAGTGGCATCATGCCACACTGTCCCATCACAAATGAGTCTACAGAGTTAGACTTTTCAACTGTATGGTGGTCCCTCGATAATCGTAAGGCTCGATAGTCATAATTTTCGAAAATCGTAACGTCATTTTCGTCAAAACGTTGGCTCGGGAATTGTCGTTTGACTTGCAAATAGTCGTTTGACACACCACCTCTCGTGACATATATAATGACTTATTTTATTCATTCTAGGGTATATTCCATGTTTCTGTGTTATTCATATTTTTTATTATGTCATATTAGTTGAATTGTGGTAGATAAATAAGCCGTAGAGTTGACATTAGTGTCATATTCTCCAACAATAAACTCGCCATCCCTCCCTCACACAAACAAGTCTTCAATAAAGGTAAGTGTGATGTTAAATAAGAACATAAGAACTTAAGAAAGGAGGAACACTGCAACAGGCCTGCTGGCCCATACTAGGCAGGTCCTTCACAAATCCAACCCACTAACAGAACAAATGCTACCCAAGCAATAAGCTCAGGTGCAAGTCCGACTCAAATCCGACCCCTCTCACTCGTGTATTTAGCCAACCTAAATTTGAAACTACCCAGTGTTTTAGCTTCGATCACCCTACTAGGCAGATCGTTCCACTCATCAACTACCCCTATTGCCAATGTTCATTTATACATTTTATTAGTGCTTTACATTTATTAGGCATTCTTTTCTGCATGTAAATCTATATTTAAGCTAGGGAAGTGACCTAGAGTTCTTATGGAGGGGGATTCCCCTTCAAAACAGTAACCTCTCTTCGCTCTCTCCTCCTCCCTGTCTTCCATTCATCAACAACACCCTTCAATAAAGGTAACTGTTATGTTGAATGTTCATTCTTTTGTGCATGTAAATCTATCTTTAAGGTAAAAAAAAAAATTGTTGTTGATACTTCTTGGTGTCTGGAAAGAATTACAGTGGACCCCCGGTTAACGATATTTTTTCACTCCAGAAGTATGTTCAGGTGCCAGTACTGACCGAATTTGTTCCCATAAGGAATATTGTGAAGTAGATTAGTCCATTTCAGACCCCCAAACATACACGTACAAACGCACTTACATAAATACACTTACATAATTGGTCGCATTCGGAGGTGATCGTTATGCGGAGGTCCACTGTAATTGGATTTACATTATTTCTTATGGGGA